CCAACTCCTCACATTCTGTGATTCTGTGACTTGCTTTACCTGGCTCTCTCCTTTCTTGTACTCCAGAGAACAATCCAGGAGGACGATGCGCGGGTTCTTGATGAGGCGCCGCATCCTGGGGTGGGTGACGTCTTTATTCACCATGATCCCACGCAATACACACGAGTCTTCGCAAAAGCCACCTGGAATCTGACACGAGAAAGGGAGAAAACAAGGCGAGTCAGCCTGTGAAAACCAGTGCATCTGTGCTGCTGAAACTATTCATCCCATAGAATGGAAAAGCAAAACTCTGCCAAATGATCGTGATGCATCCAGGTTAATCCGAGTTCATTTTAAGAATGTGTTAAGTGAAAAGCCATGGAAGAAACTGAGAAACTGCTCACATCCTATTGCATTACAACACGTTTGGAAAACGTAAACCAAACCAACTTAAACGATCTTTTTGACAGATGGTTTTTAAAAGTTGAAATGACTGCCCCTATTTTCACCGTAAACCAACACGGCTGACAGCTCTAAAGCACCGTCAAGGGTCACGTCCGCAGACTGCAGAGCAGCAGCTCAAAACCCTTCCCACCGCATCCCAGGAACAACCAACTCCGAATAAGAAAGAGCACACAGAGAAGAAATAGCTGAGGACACGCTCACCTTCTCTACTTTTGCGTATTTTTTAATATCAATTTCCCTCCTGCCGTTTTCCTCGAACTCCACGGTCTTCACAGCATCGAGAGCGATGCTGCAGGCCAAGTCACTCCAACGGTTTATTGCCTTGGTATTTATAGCACTCTTTATTATTTTAAGCATCATCTCTTTGTTGTTCACATCCACCGGAGTGCTGAGACAAAGCAGAAACCAAACAGTAAACCGAGCATTACTCCAAGCTGCAATCCCATAATCCCATCGAGTCCCTCTCCAATTATATTAAGTTTGAAGAATCATCTTCAAGCAGTGCAGAAACCCCAGACCCCTTCTCCCTAACTCCCCCCAGCCCGTACTTACCCAATTTTCTTTAAAATACTGATCATGTCATCCAGAGCCTTACGATAAGCCCCAATGATCACAGTTGGGTGCATCTGCTGCTCGAGGAAGTGTTCAGCAACGGAGAGCATCTCTCCAGCTAACAAAAAACAAACCAAAACTCATCAAAATTCCTGAGCTAAGGTAGGAAAACACTCGACAGTCAAGCCATGAGACTTGCATACCAGACAAAAAGTATCTGCTGTCCACACAGAGAGCTCTAACATCATCTGTACCTTTCTTTATGCTTAACTGTGCCTATTTTGGGGAAAAAACCACAACTTCCTGAAGCATGGATCACTGAAGGGTCTAATGAACCCAGCATTCTCCTCTCAGCAAAGTAAAGGATCAATTTTAGGGCTGGTAAATAACGAATATCTGTTTTATTAAGGCCCATGTACTGAACTTCAGCCTTAATCCTTTATGAAAGACACATCTTATTCCCTCTCCTTACCGAGGATGATCACAGACGTCGTCCCATCTCCGACTTCTTCGTCTTGAGTGCGGCTGATCTCAATCATCGATTTTGCGGCCGGGTGCTGGACTTGTATCTGTACAGGAGAGCAAGGAGAACGTTTGTGGCCCACAGCACTAAAGCTGAAAGTCCCTGCGTCACTCAATGGAAGAAATCCCCCACCTTTTAAATAATCAAGGGCGTTCTGCACGATATAGGAAAGATTTTTCTTCTTTTTGAGACCAAAAATAAGCCCTCATATTGCACAATATTGGATCTCTCTCTGTTTTTCAGGCATTACCATTTTGGTGATGTTATTTCAACAGCACTTGCCCCAGAAATACAATGAGTTTTTGGTTTAATTATCTGACATGGTAAAAGCAAGCATCTACTCATAAGGTTTTGATACAAGCAACTATAGCCACAATTACTATAGAATTTACACCTTCATGAAAACTTAGCACCCTGGGATCAAACCTACTTTTCTGAGGAGGAAATCTGCTTGAAATATTTAATTTACCCCTAAGTAAGCACCCTTTTGGTACTGCCATTTACTAACTGGTGGCTCTCAAGTCAGATGATGAAATAACACAGCTCCATCAGCAGCTACAGAACCATATCCTGGGAGATTTTGACTCACACATGAAGCAAGATAATCCTTTAGGAGAGAAACTCACCTCTCTAAGAATAGCATTGCCATCATTGGTCATCACAATCCCACCCATGGGGTCCAAAAGCATCTGCAACGGGAAGAGAAGCAAGATTTGCACTGAGTTTTAATAAACACGGCGTTCCTCGTCAGCAAGCAGCGCGGGTATTCCAGCAGAAGTCCTTACCTTCATCATAGCTCTTGGCCCCAGACATGTTCTGATGATGTCAGCTATGGTCTAGGAGGAACAAAAGAAATTAGACAATACAGCAGGGCATTAAAACATCTGGAAAAAGAAAAAGTCTACATGAAACAAGGACCCACTGCAAAATTTAAGTGACCAAATGACTCTACAGCTGCTTAGATGCAGCAGAGGTTAAGAATTACGTGGGAATGAGAACACCAGGATTATAAAAGCACTGGCACCACACTAAAGGACTCTTTAAATCAGATGTCAAAACTTGCACGCTTTCAGATTTTGCAGAGGAAGAGGTGTTGGTAGGTGAAGCCCCTCCACATTCAGTTACACTGCACCTAGTGTTTTAACACTGAAAATTCATTTCCTATGCTGCTTCTAGACAAAACGTGCTTCAGAGCCAGACTTCCCTCTTAAATATATATAATATACATATGCACATGCACACACACACAAAATAAAGGAATACAAATAGAGTGACATGAGAGTACGGTACCTTAGCAGCAGTGATGTTTCCTGTCTGGACTTTTCTTCCAGACTCACGTTTCACGTTCTGACCTGAAGCGCATAGAAAAAAAATAAAATATTAAAGCACAAATACAACTTTGGTCTGATCCTACTAAGGAGATGAAGACTGAAACAGTGATACTGCCAATGCATCGACACCCTCTCAGCCGCACACACTTGGTACGTGACCAGTTCTAAATTAAGAGTTCACCATGTAAATACCACAAGCACTATTAAAAAGCACGTTCATAAAAGTGTCAGTGAAAAGCATTTTTTATCACAACAAAATTCCTGATTAGCGTCATAATTCAACAGAGATTAAACTTCGCAACCCTGAAATACAACCCATTCCCCCAGGAAAATCAACCAGCAGTGACTCATTGGAATCTGCAGGATCCCCCAAAGCCCAAGAACCGTCACACAATGACTTTTACTCAAAAAAAGCTACAGATGCTCACACCCAACAAGTAGAACACTGGTTTAAAATCAAGTTTTATACATCAGTGGTGCTCAGCCTTTGGAACACGAGGGTGAGCCACTGCCCTACCACAAGCTCACAACCATATTTGGGGAGTAACTGTCAAAAGCGGCTGCCCTAGAGAATTTCCAAGCTTGGTACTGCTTTTTGTTACAAGCATAGACTGGGTAAGTGTGGAGTTACTTCAGGAGCGGATGTCTGTGCACATGGATTTGAAAGACAGAACAAAAGAAAGCGACAGAGCACCAAGAATAAGGTAAGCAGGCCTACAGCAAAAGGGTCCTTGGACACAACAGCCTGCATCTTGGGTTAACAGTGAGCAGAGCAGATGGCAATGAGAAACCCAAGCAGAAAGAAACCCCCTGGGACAGCTCATATGGCAGGGTGGCGAATCACAAAGTCCAAGAAGTTCAAATGGGACAGCACAAATGTGCTAAGAAACACAAGTGGAGAAAATCACAGTGGGGTTTGGGGTGGAAGGGACCCCAATTCCCCCCCAATTCAACCCCCATGGGCAGGGACACCTCCACCAGCCCAGGCTGCTCCAAGCCCCGTCCAACCTGGCCTTGGGCACTGCCAGGGAGGGGGCACCCACAGCTTCTCTGGGCAACCTGGGCCAGGGCCGCAGCACCTCACAGGGGAAGAATTTCTTCTTAATGGCTAATCTAAATCTATCCCCTTCCCGTTTATATATAGTAGTGTATGTATATACACACACACACACATATATACACACACATATACACACTTATAAATAGCTGAAAGAAGCTGAGATCTGCCAGGAAATATTTAATGAGGAGCCGGAGCTCCGATGCCCTGAGACCTCCCGCAAAGGGAGCAAAGTGGGGCCACGGGCGGAGGAGAGGCACGGCCCATCAGGGCTGGGCAGTGGCTGTGGAGAGCTGAAGAGGCCCGAGAAGAGACAAAGGGGACCTCAGGGCGTGCCGGTGGCGGCAGCCGGGGCCCAGCGGAACCCCCGGCCCGGCTGGGGGGTTCTGTGAGGGAGTGCCCGGCCGTGAGGGGGAACCAACATGGCG